TGGAGATTTCTCAAAAAATCAAGGATAGAACTACCATATGATCCAGCTATTCCACTGTTGGGTATTTATCCAAAGAACTTGAAAACACCAATTTGCAAATGTACATGCACCCCTGTGTTCATTGCAGCCTTATTCACAATAGCCAAGACTTGGAAGCAACCTAAGTGCCCATCAAGGGACGAATGGTTAACAGGATTTTTGAAGAGCAATTTTTGTTTACTTGGGTTAGGATCACTTTATTTTCTTTTTATGGATCATAATTTTTGAGTCAGGTCTGAGAACATTTTGCATAGACCTAAATGCTAAAGACTTTCTCCTATATTCATTTCTCAAAATTTTCTAATTTCATCTTTATATTTACACCCCTGAACCATCTTGAGTTATTTTTTCTAAGACCTGTGAGATGGTCAAGGTATTTTTATTTTTGTTTTCTCTGTGTCAAAAAGCTCCAGCAGCATTGCTTTAGAATGCTGATTTTTCTCTATTAAATAACTTTTGTGCCTATCTCAAAATCAGTTCGTAGATTTTACTCAACTGATTTGAAAACTTATATACACACAAACTCCTGCCCGAAATGTTTACAGTAGCTTTATTCACAATCACCTCAAACTGAAAGTAACCAAGATGTGCATCAATAGATGAGCTGATAACAAATTGTGGTTCATCCATATAGTAAAACATTATTCAGGGATAAAAAGAAATGAGCTATTAAGCTGAAAAAAGACACATATGAATCTTACATTCATGTTGATTCATGAAAGAAGACAGCCTGAAAATGTTACACACTGCATGATTCCAGTAAAATGGCATTCTAGAAAGGGACACATACGAAAACACTAAACAGATCAGTGGTTGCCAGTGTTTGGTTAGTGAAAGAACAAGGAATGTGTTAGGGCTGTGACACTACTCTGTATGAGATGATACATTTTTTACAACCCTTAGAAGTTTTCAGCACAAAGTGTGAACTAAGGTTCACTCCTAAAACTAAGAGAAATAATTTAGAAAGTCAGGGCTACCCCAGGATGGAATGAGAATGTGACCAAACTATCAAACTGTATTATAAATGTACAAAGAGTTTTCACTGAAGGCAATGAGGGAAAAGGGTTGACCTAGGTAACTTTGAGAATGAGAGCCATCTCTAAGTCTAAAGACAAAAGGAACTGTACAAAGCACTGCACTCTAGTTGATGATGTAGTTTAGTGTGTAATAAAGTTTAACAAATCAGATACTGCCATACATGTGTACTGGAATTAACTAGTATGTTATGGACGGTAGACGGCGGGAGCCAGGTTTGTGACTATGGGAGTGAAGGAACGAAAAATTGGAAGGATTCAAGTGGGGACGGATGAGAGTTGGAGACATCAATATGAACTCATGTTTAGCTTAGTATAGATACAGATGGTTACATAGACAAATATTTATAGATATGTAGGTGTATATATGGGTCGTTAAACAAATATCTATTTCCTATCACTATTGGCTGCGAGGTCGTAAAAACAACGACACTCCAGCAACTATGAGCAAACCTGACACCAGGTATTGGTTTTTAATATTATTCTCCAAAAAAAGGAGCCAAAGACCTTGGGAGAAATGGCTAAGTCTGGGACTGGAGCAGGAAATATACAGCATAAACCCAGAGCAACTTGTACTGCCATAACATAGGAAAGTACTAAAAACAGACAGAAAAAAGTGACAGGGGTAAGATAAAGAGACGTAAAAGTCAACTGAAAGAGCTCCCACTGACTAAAGCTGGAAAAATTTAACCAAAAAAATAAATAAATTGTGTAGTATTGGATTATAATCCAAAGTGTAAAATAAATATCCATGACCATGATTCCATACTGACATAAAAAACTGATTGAATAAACAAATAAATGTGGAAAAGAAGAGACAGCTCTCCCATGAAGAATAATTCTAAATAATTTGTGTAGTACTATGCCCTCAAAGAAGTGGGGTATAACCCATTCTTTGAGTCTGAAAATATTTCCTCATGCCTACTGATTTCCTTCCAAGGAGTACAGTATGGGAAGAGGGAAAAAGAGTAGGTTTACAGGGTGGTTACTTGACAAACATGACCTCAATTGGATGTTTACAGTTAACATCAGTAGTGGTAAGTCATGTGGATAGTATGTGCCTGTAATGGCATTTTACCTCAGTGGTCTTCCTTTCGCAAACGTATAATTCCAATACAATCATGACAAAAAATTCAGACAAATCCCAGTTGAGGAACGTTCATCACTGACCAGTACACCTCAAGACGGTCAAGTTCGTGAAAAAAGAGGAAAATCTTAAGAAACTGTCACAGTTCAGACGAGCCTAAGGACACGTGACAACTAAATATAATAGGATATCCTGGATGGGATTCTGGAACAGACCGAGGACATTAGGCAAAAACAAAGGAAGTTAGGTAAAGTATGGACTTTAGTTAGCAATAATGGATTAGTTCATCAGCTGTCGCAAACTTACCATATGTTAATAAGAGAGGAAACTGTGTGCCAGATATATGAGAACTCACATATAAAAATGTCTTCACAATATTTCTGACGGCTCTTTTAATATCTTTGCCAGATAATTCTCTCCTCTCTGTCATTTAGATGTTAGCATCTATTTACTGTTTTTTCATTCAGTGTGAGATTTTTGTAGCTCTTGGTAGATGAATGATTTTCAGTTGAAACTTGGACATTTTGCTTATTGTGTTATAAGACTCTGGATCTTATTTAAGCCTCTCTTTCACGTGGCTCCTGCAGGTGAAGAGGGAATGCCACTTTGTTACTGCCAGGAGGCATAGAAGTTCAGGTTTAGGTTCCCCATCCAACATCTGTTGACAGCCCATGGGGTTGGAGTGGGTGGAATGCACTTCTTGTTACTTCTGTGGGTGTGGTGAAAGGTTGGGGTGGGTGGAGTTCCAGCCACCTACTAGGCCTCCACTGATAATTACCCTGGCTGCAATGGGTAAGAGTGCCTTGTTAGCTTCTATATGTGATACAAAATCTTCTAGCCTCAAGGAAGTAATAAATATAGCCACCAGGTGGCCATACCAGTGGAACACTGAATGAAGCCATGTTACTTAAAGAGTAGAAAATTGGTAGCAGATGTTAACTCAGTGTGAATACTTCCTTGCATCCAAGGGAGGCTCAGTGTTCAGTGTTTTAGCCATCCAGGCAGTAGCCAGGGCCAGAGATTTGTTCGACATTACCACTGAGTTAGATTAGGAACCACCTGATAAATGCCTGGCCTTCAAGACAAGTCTGTCCTAAATCAATCACTTAATTTAAGTATGATAGTATTCTGAAAACCTTAAGTTGAACAATTATAAAATAGGTATGTAGTTTGAGCATTACAAAGTTTTAAATGAGGAAAATTAAGGTTGGGAATACAGACCTGGTCTGGAGTCTTGGGACAGCTGTCTACAACAGATGCCACCTTCTTCTCATCCTGGTTTGGAGATATTTGCTTTGGTCAGTTGAAGTTGGCTATCAGAAATAGAACCTGAAACCCACGCAGGTGCAGAAGCCTCTTTTTATTTATTTGAAATGAGAAATGTGAATCCATGAGTATACGCTTTCTGTTTCTGTAATGTATTTATTGGTTAAAAGTACCTGGTATGAGCCTTTCCAATAGGGCTGCAAAGAGTCTTTTATCTGGGGTCTTTTCCAACAAACAAAATCTCCAGGTTGTAGTTCACCATCCTGAAGGTCTTCGTCTAATGGGAGTTCACTGTAAAAATATCAGCTACAAACTTCTCATTTCCTTTAAGTGTATCAATGAGACCTTGACAATAATTAAGATATCTCATTTAAGCAAAGTTTGTTCATACATGCCTTTCTTTCACTGCATAGGCCCTCCCACTATTATCTTAAAAGGATATAGCTGATATTTTACAAAGGGTATAGATCTAACACTGAGGAGTTCTAGTGGAAGAGCTTTTGGCCACGAGAGTTTAAATGCTCCTGAAAGCTTTTCCAATTGAGTTTTGATCATGCCTTCAGTTAAAATGTTGTATTACTGACCAAATATCATAAATATATTTAATTACTTGTCTGGTGAAATGAGTTCCCCAGTCACTGTATAATTCAGTAGGAATTCGTCAAACAGGATTTATCCTTTCCAATAATAATTTTCCTAAAGCCATGGCTCTTCTGTAAGCAAAGGCTTCAACTGAACAGGAGAACATTCAGATCATTACCATGATATATTTATATTCTTGAGATGATGGCATTTGGACAAGTTCCAATTTCCATACCTCAAAGGGTCATTTAAGAAGGGGAAAGTGGCCTTGTGACTTCTGAAATACTTTTCATAGATTATCATTTGGGTATATAGCGTAATGTGTACAGACTTTATGAGCCATTGTGGGAGAAAGTTTCCCAAAGTATTGTTTTCTTCTTTTTGTTTCCACCTTTATTTCTTTTCTTCCATGGCAATTTCTTAAGCATACAGAAGGAAAAATTTTACTGGTTTAGCAGAGGTAATAGAAAATATCAGTCATTCTCAAGACTGGACAGCCTATCCTCCTTGATAATGTCCTTGCTTATCATGTAAGATCTATCCGTAAACCAAATTAAGTAGTAAAACGCAGTTGTGGACTTTTACTCTTGTAGTGCTGGAAGCAAGGTAGCAGAGTTAAGATAGTGAATAATATTTACCTATGCAGTATAACCTAAGATAATTTATCATCATTTATTTGACAATGCTTCCTATGCACCCTAGCATACCAAAGATGCCTAATTAGTACATTCCTCTTTATAGGAAGAGAGAAAAATTTCTTTGAGAACTCCAGGCACTCTCTGAATATTCTCAAATTAAAAAGTCAAAAGAAAGAGTATATTTATGATATGAATTCTGGAGCTTGTCAAAGATATCAAAAGGTTTTAAAACACTTGTTCAAACAAGATCAAGGGGTTGCTGATCTTTTCTCTTTAAGACAAAAGTTGCTGTGAGACAATGCTTAGGTATCCATGTAAACAAAGTGAGACTCACTCAAAAGTAAAGAAAACCTTTTCTAATCTCTTTATCAGAAGCAGACTAAAAGACCAGGAAAATTATCCTTTTAAGAAAGAGTCAACCAAATTCTAATTTTCTAGTAGCTTACTTCTGATATTAAAACCTATTTATTTAATTAAATTTATTTTAATGTTAGCCAACTTGATCATACATAAACCTCTTTCCTCAGGGTTTCTCTTCAAAAAAAGACCTTCTGTAACTTTCTTTTTACATTTATAATTGCTCCCATGCCTTTCTTTCTTTTTTTTTTTTTTTTTTTTGCCCTGTCCTAGTACTTTGGGACTAATTTGTCTTTCCAAAGAGAGAAACAAAAATATTTTCATTTTTTATACCTTCTTTACTGAAAAAACACATCTTTCCTTGCATACAAAGATGTTTTCCTTGTTAATTTTTAGTAGCTCTAATCCTATGTATTAATTAGAATCTTTAACCCTAATGGGCCTTAAAATTCAGTGAAAACTAAGAAGTAATTATAAACTGTCTTTTATATTAGCATTCTTTGTCTTGGCAAATTTATAAATACTTTTTATAATGTCTAGAAACATGCTACTTCATAGTACAATTTTTAAAAAATTCATGACATGTTTTTTAATAGACCCAAACACCTTTAGTTTTTTTGTAATAAGAAGCCAAAAGTAGATAAACTTATACATATTTCCTGATAATCTTTCTGTATTTTATCTTATTTGAAAATGAACTAGATATTCAGTGAATTTGTTTCATTTGATTTCACCAAGCAAAACCTCAATTTCAAATCTCCAGAGAGATTATGAATGTTATCTTAAATATACACTCAATAACATACAATTATTTTATTTATTTATTTATTTATTTTTGTGAGGAAGATCAATGCTGAGCTAACATCCACACTAATCCTCCTCTTTTTGCTGAGGAAGACCGGCTCTGAGCTAACATCTATTGCCAATCCTCCTCCTTTTTTTTTTTTTCCCCCCAAAGCCCCAGTAGATAGTTGTATGTCATAGTTGCACATCCTTCTAGTTGCTGTATGTGGGACACGGCCTC